TTCGGTATACAATTAGTCATTTTATACATTTCGGTATAAAATGTGTTTATGTTTGTATAAAACGAGATGAAAGTGTATATACAAATACAAATACATATATTTTCGTCCTATACACTTATAATTATACAAATACAGATCTTATTATACAAATTACAATATATAAATGAATTTATACAAGACTGAACAATTTATATAAAATTGGATGTATCTAGCGAATTATACAAATCAAAAGCTCTATAGCAAACATAAAATTTGATATGAAGCGCAATTATGCAAACTATAACTATAACATACAAATATGATTTTTATATTTGCTATATTTGAAAGTTGCTCAAAAAATATACTATTAGTTATTTTTCTCCTTTTACTTGTTTATGTCACTGAAAATTAAATTGAATTCAAATTCATTGTATTGAAGTTTGATAATTTAATTTACTGTATCAGAACAAATTTTGAATGTTTGGTATTTAATATTCACTTTTAATTATCGAAATTGAACTTTGAGAATACTGAATGTTCACCCCTAAAAATTATATGTCTGCCTTTTGTTTGTAATGACAATAATCAAGTCGATTTATAGTAGAGATCTAAACTCTAAATATGATTGTTTTGAAATCAATATTTCATATATCGATTCAATTCGAGCTCTCTTGTTGAGAATGCTAATTTATTTTCAATATTATGCCTTGCATGAGACTTGAACCTCCACACTTTGCATGTTTAGATAAATATTTAAAAATTACATTAAAAAACTATAAATTATAATAATTAACAACTTATATTGGCTCTCAAAATTTTATAAATGTCACATAAATTGAGTCAAGGAGTAACACATATTATTTAAAAATTACAAAAAAAAAAAAAATTTAAATTTATATAAAAAAATGGATGATTCGATATGTGACATAATTAGGACAAAGGTTGAGTTTCATAAAGCGAAGGTGAATTGTGCAATGCCTCGATACAAAGACGAGCCTCCTGCAGTTCGTGTTTACACTGTTTGCGATGAATCCAAGTTCGTTTTCGTCAACCACAGTTTTATCTCCGTCTTCTAACTTACGAATTCAAATTTATTTGATAATTTCACGATTTAGGTTTTTTACGAACGTTTTTGCAGATATTTGGTTGTGAGGAATGTTCCGGCGTTGGGTTGTGGGGATCAGCTCTCTCAACTATTCTCCACTTACGGAGAAATTGAAGAGTATGGCTTTTCTCCTAATTTCTCTGAACACAATCCATTGTTGTGCATGGGTTTCTTCAAAATACTTGTTGTGCCGTTCGCGCATTTTTACTTGTCCACTATACTGAAAAAAATATCCACTTTTATTTGTCAAGACTAATTTATCCTTATTATTAAATGTAGTCATTTCCAAAAGCATTGAATTTATTATATTGTAAAATTGTCATTCGATTTGTTTCTCCTGTGCCAAGTCAATATTGGATAAGTAAAAATGGATGAAGCTAAGTATTTCTTTTTGATGTTAAAAGGGTACTGTATTAATGTGCAGCACCTTCTGGTGCTGTGGGGAATTTAGTGTAATGAGCTCAAAAAATCTACCATGACCTCAGTATCATTTGCAATTGTCATGTTACACCAAAAAAACAGTTAGGATAAACATCTTTACTTAGGATTAACTACAAATTCTGACCACCAAAGGTTGAACTAGGGTCTCGAGTTTGAGCCCAGTGTATGGAGTTGCCTCTGGTAGGGTGCGATTTACCCTCTACGTGGGACTTTTCAATGCGAATCTGGATTAGTCAGGCCCCAAAGTGGGTAGCGGAGACTGGGTGAGAAACCAAAAAACAAACTACAGATTCTGATTTGCTTACAAAAATCCTTGCATTCCTTTCCTTCCAAATGGTCCACCATATTATTGAAGTTAGAGTATTCCATGTTTTCATCTTTGTCTTCCCTAGACCTTTTGCAACTAATTGGAGATGTACTCGTATTTTAAAACCTTTTGGCTTGTTTTCATCTTTATATACATAGTAACTCAAACTTAACCGTGCCTTTTGTTTCCAAAGAGCATGTCATGTAAAATTTTACAATGATGTTAGCTCAGCTAGTTCCATCTAAAACTTAGATCAATTTTTCTATATTCGAAAATTGAAGGTTAAAAATGGAAGGTCTAAGAATAAAAATAAGAAATCCTTTTCAAAATGAAAGAGTTGAAAAAGTACACACAAAGATAATAGAGGGACTAATACTGCATTTTGCTCTTTGTTCTCAATTTTTTTGTTTCATTTGGGCTGAGAGGGGATGGCAGAGGGGATACATATATATCTGCTTGCTGAACTTATATGTTCCTTGCATCTTGTAATTGTTGGCTTTTTTCTTTACAAATAAACTTAGGATGGTGATTGTACTTAGCAATGCACAATTTAAAGATGAAGTTGGTAGTGTCAATAATATCTTCTAGTGTGTTACCTTCATCATTACTGTTCTTCTGGTTTCTTAGATGTAAACCAATGGATGCTGAAGATTGTGAGCCATTTACAGACGTCTTCTGGATCAGGTTTTGCCGGGTTGACAATGCCAGGTGATTACAATGTTCAGATCATAACCGTTATATCTAGAGATGTTAATGAATATTGGTATTTTCTTTTATAGTGTTGTGAAAGATCTCATTAAACTGCTAAGGAAAAGGGCAAGATCTGTGTATTGCAAAAGGATTCCAATACCCTTATAACACAATAGAATTTTTTGAAGGAACTGGTCCAGCATAGCATTATTTTCTGGACGATGATTTCCATGCAATTCTCCATATACATGCACATTTGTTTTTATATTGCATCATGAGTTATGCTTACATATTCGCTATCCAGATTTGCCAAAAGGAAACTGGACGAGTCTGTTTTCCTAGGAAAAAAGCTACAGGTTTCTTATGCACCTCAATTTGAGAGTCTGCACGAGACGAAGGAGAAGTTAGAAGCAAGGAGAAAGGAGGTTTTAGCACGATTAAACCGTAAGTACCTTGTCACAAAGTTAGAAATTACCTTGTCCAACGAGAAAAATTCTGCCTTTATTTTGTAGACCCCTAGTTTCTTATTTCGGAGTTGATGTCCTTTCAGCTGGACGGTCGAAAGGATCTGCCACATATCGGCCAGATATGATTGGTGAGCCCTCGATAACTGCCTCTCCAGCCCAGTTGAATTCTACCACACAATCAATTGGCTCTAATCATAGGTAGTTAAATAAGATGCTCTGAATTGACTTTTGAATTTTATTTATCAAAATAAAGTAAAAACATTTTCATTGTAGGCAGAGCTCGAGTTCTCAGGGTAATTCTGTTCATGACATGCAGTGTTCTCCCATAACAATGGTTTCTTCAGACAAGGTTAGTCATAGGTAACAAAAGTATTGCATTTATACCTCATATGATTTTGACTTTTGGCAACCAATATTAACATTGTTATCAGATTCAATAGTCATATTATGAAGCAGGGGGTTGGTTGCCAGATAATCATTTCTCTGCAATGTTGAGTGCCTGACGGTTATAAATGTTATCTATAAATTTTTGGCAGATCTCCTTAGGTTGTGAAACTAGGAGACATTATTTTTTGGTAAACTAGGAGACTTAGCATCCCTTTGTTTGCTTGTCATTGGTGGATTAGCAAAGGCAAGAAGAATGCTGAAAGGGAGAAAAATCAATTTTGTGCTGTGTTCTTGGCAAATTGGAAGCTGTAGACATGTTTCAAGGGGTAGAATTTTCTGGCAAGGATTGCAATGACTTCAAATAAACATAAAAGATCTCTGTGTATATTTTTTTTTAATGCTAGATGGAGAATTACCACTAATGAGGTCAGTAGTGAGTGCTGGGATTGCAAAAATTGGGAACTTTCATTGGTTGATCTGAACTCCCGCCCGTGAGTTAAGCCTTGGGGCTCACAGAGTTGGTATTAGGGAGAGGACTCAGGATTATCTAGATTGGGTATGTGGTTGCGCATTATATGGGTAAGCCTAATGGTCAATGAAGTGAGAGGAGAACCATATCTCAGGTTCAAATCTCAGCGGAGACAAAAACAATAGGTGATTTCTTCCATTTGTCTTAGCCTTTAGTAGACAATTACCTGATACCTGGTGGGAGATAGCAGGTATCCCATGGAGTTGGTAGTGTGCGCAAGCTAGGCTGGACACCATGGTTATCAAAAAAGTATGGGTAAGCCTGCCTAGCTGGCTGGAGCTTGGATCCCATCATTTTGGGGTTAATTTAATGCTTGTTTAGCTAGTGAGGGTCATGAACGGTGCCAACTATTCTGGTTCTGCCTCATCTTCTTTTCTTTTATTCTCCCCTTCCAGTTCTTGTGCAACAAATTATCGGCAGAAAGGCTCAATTGGTAATTTACCTAAGAGATAATACATTTTCCGTTTAGTATTTGCTCCTTTCTCATTCTACTTCTAGACATGAGGAGGAACAACAAAGAGCTCCTTAGAGAAGAGAGGGGAATGAACCTAGAGATAAGAAATTCTCTTAAAAGTGATTATTCCGTTCTTCAGTTCAGTCAGGCCACCACATTCTAAAGTTCTAGTTGTAGAACCACCTTTTTACCTGGTTTCAACTTTTCTTTGCAACTCTTGTATGAACTCTATGTGCGTGAGTTTTGCTTACTGCATGCAAGTTCACAACACTTGGTTTTGAATTTCTGAAGAATGAATGTTTCTTCTCCACTTTGGTAATGATGTCAGGAATACTTTCCTTCACAATCTATGAATCAAACTGTTAAGCTGGTCAGAGATAAACTAAATAAGGTAACAATCATTAGTCTTTTGACTTGTGATCATGGATTTTAGATTTGCTTGTTTATTTTTTTTGACAATTTGTTCTGTTCTTCTTTAGATACAATCCAGTGCGGACCATTTAGAAGAACCATCCAAGCGAAAACGAGTTGACAATAGGAGACGGATATAAATTACAATCCAGTGCGGACCATGTAGAAGAACCATCCAAGCGAAAACGAGTTGATAATAGGAGACGGATATAAATCCTATGCAGGTTTTGACAAAGAGTATATGGCTTTGGATTAGTGTTCCCCCCAGAATATATCAAAATCTTTCTATAGTTTCTTTTCCATTCAGTAACACCACCTCTTCCTGGAAAATCATCCCTTGATGCTGAATCTGTAAACCAATACTTTTTCTGGGTTCTAGTCCATGGCATCCAGAATCTCTTCTGAATTCTTCACCAACTGGCCTCTGGGTATCAACAAAAATGATGCCGTTCTTATTTTTGCCCCCAAGTCTATCCAATTTCTTCTTTGTTTCTTCGATGTTATTACCATAGATTCCATCACTATAACTGATAATCCTATGCATACAGTTTTCAGATTTTTCCAAGCAAGTTAAAGATTGAAACCCAGGCTTATTATCACTGTTCCTGAATTGCTTGATAAGGTCAATGGGTTTAAATTGCCTAGTTTGCTTTTCTGTCACCAGAAAAATTCTAATTTGAGTATTGCAACATTTAATGATCTAGTTGATAAAGCAGGGTACATGAATTGCGATAACTGTGGGATAGAGCAAAGTGACATTGCAGCATTCTGTGTGTTGCCTATGTTTCATGTGTTTGGTCCTGTTATTTTTATGTATTCACAGTTGCAGAAGGGTAATACTGTTGTGTCTATGGATAAGTTTGATTTGGAAATGATTATATTGAGAGGTACAGGGTGACACATTTATGGATTGTTTCTCAAATGTTTTAGCATTCGCAAAGAATCCTGTGGTGAAGCATAATTTAACTTCATTGAAGCATGTTGGATCTGGTGCTGCACCTTTAGGGAAGGAAGTTGATGGATGAATGCAATAAGATATCCTCGCGCTGTTGTTGTTTACGGATATGGTATAACAGAAACCTGTGAGATTGTCTCATCAGAGAGAATCAATATGTAGGCTGCAGACACAGGATCAGCAGGGACTCATAGTTCCAGGGAATGGACGCTCAAATAGTCAAGAGTTGATAAACTGAAGCCCCTTCCTCCTGGACAATTAGGGAAAATATGGGTGCACCCAAGGCAATTTCAACAATCCATAGTGCAGATATTGGGTACTTTGACGAGGAAGGAATGTCCTATGTATTAGTTTGACAGATGCATAGAGCTTATCCATTAAAAATGTTTTCAGGCTGCACATGCTAAGCTTGAAGGTCTCTGTTTTTCATCCTGAAATACTAAATGCTGTTGTTGTACCAATTCCTGATGCTGAGGCCGCTAGTGAATGAGCTTAGTATTCTAACAAGGAGACTCAAAGAAGTTAAAAAAATGTCACATCTGGAATTTGAGAACGTATTTATCTTATGTCAACGGGATTCAAAGTTTTATGTATGTATAAAAGAAAATGTTTTTACGCTATTTACATAGTATGCCTTCCTATCCGCCACTGCTAACATTGCGATGGTGACAATCACAAACAATGTTCCTAAGTCAGCCCTAGGAACATCCTACAAAAACTAATTGAGAAGCCCAACGAAAACTATAAGATTGGAATAGTTAAACTCTTTGATCGTTAAATGTGTGACCCAAGGCAGTTGCATAGACACACTATCCTTGTATTTTCAAATAGTAACAGAATTAAGCTGATGATGAGAAAATAGGAAGAAACATGTATGGTAGAGGATTCACAATTGGAACTTGTAAGTACCATTGATGTTTTACAAGGATATATTGTGCTATAGAGATTTTCCTTTTTATATTTTATGCTTTGTAACGAATGGCATAGAGTGGACCACGATGAGTTTCAACGGTATAATCTAGGCAATGTAAAAAGAGACCAAATACTTCAGACAAGACTTCTTCGGAGACTCAATTTAATCTTGATATAAAAATTCAAAGATCTAACATTGAAAGATTAAATGAAAGCTGGGCAACGTTTCTCAGGCGGGGTATAAAAGCAAGAAAGGCAATGCTGATTTCACCTCTACAAAGATAATTTGAACCAACCTATGAAAACACATTTAAACGGTGACAAGGTTAATGCGAAAGAAATCCTTATGTAACCGAGTGTTAAGAATTCTCTTCACCAGTTGGTGTAGGGAGAGAATAGTAAGATGTCACATAAGACACATTCCCCTGTCCCCCCATGCTTTAGTCGTAGCAGAGCAGCAAATATGTTTGTTACTCCTCCTTGTTGCTAGCTAGTCTTGCCCGGTGTCTAAGTTCTGCTTTTTTCCACCTGACAATCAGGTAACATAGTGAAAAGAGGGTATTAACCTGCAAAGAAGAAAGGTGTAAAGCTAATTAGTGAGTGAAAAACAATAGAAATGAAGAAAACAAAGAGTGCAGAATGACCAAAGATACTCACCAAGATTATTATCGAAATAACCAACAGAGGCCCAGACCAGAGTGTGGAAAGAAAAATGCCATGTGAATCAAAGTAATTCTGGCGCGCAAAGCTTTTCCAGTTCGCAGCTAATATGCGATTAAGCCTCTCAGCACCATACACTCCTCCCACTGTATCATAAGGTAACTAAAAAAGTGAGGAAAACGGGACATTCTAATACACTGCAATGGAAAAGATCAAACTTCTAACATGCAAGCTAGAAAGATGTCATCCCTTCAGTTTCACAACACAAAGCTACTAGCATACGGAACATAATTATTTGCTACTCAACAGCCTGAAAACTTGTGCTTTCATTAAGCTCAACAATATGAATTTTTCAATCTGAAAACTAAGACATGTAGTCTGCTAAACCCAAAACATAGAAAACCATGAAGACAAAATAGAGTAATGTCGAAAGTTAAGCTTTCTACCTAAAACATAAGTTCTATGTGTTATTGTGAAAGGGGAAGCCTAGCAATCCATGTAGAAAGTTCAGACAGGTTATTCTGGAACTGTATTATGTCATTGAGCTTTTGAAGTTGTCTACTGAGGATTATTCTTACGGAAAAGGGGCAAAAAATAGACAAAGTAATTTTTTAAAGCCACGTGATATTTTTGGAATTAGAAAACCAACTTTATAATTTTTTTAATTCAGTACATATAGGTTTGTTAACGAAAAGGGTAAATAATGCATCATTTGTTAGACGGTAGGGGTATATATGCACCATATCTTTAACAAGGGGGTATATCTGCTCTAAATTGCAAAGTTGAAGGGTATATTTACCCCTTTTCACTTCCACTTCATGGAGACAAAATTATCCTACTTCTTGCAATTTGGTGGCAAGCACTTATAGGAAGAAATTGTTACAGGAGCAGGGATAACTAATTAGGCCGTTTATCACCTGAACTCTTCTGCAATTCTAGAAAATTGTATCCAGCATACTACATGTGTCAGAACAGCCTAGAATCAGTAACCACTTGTTCCTAAATCCTAATTCTTCAGTGGTCACAGATCTTTGGAACATGTTCCTTTCAGTTTTTGGAATTAATTGGGGCCCACCCCAGAATATCAAAGATGCAGTTGAAAATTGGTGCCTATGGAAAGTTGACAGCACCATCAAGAAAACCCAGCATGTATCTTTTGGCGTCTTTGGAAAGAGAGAATCTCAGATTTTTTTATGGCATCTCAACTCCTAACAGTAGACTAAAATCCTTTTGCCTATTGAACCTCTTCAGTTGGAGCAATCTTATACCCTGTAAATGATGTTATTCCCCTTTATTTCATGAGCTCTCTATCTGTGGTTTAAAACCGTACTTTTGCTTTCCGGTTAAACTCCCTGGTCTAGTAGAGGAAGTTGTTGTATTAGGAGTTTGACCATGATTTATTGTGTACTTACTTTGCATCTCCTGATGCCAATTTAATACAGCACTTAACTTCATGAAAAAATATCAAGAAATATCAGAAACTGGATAACTGTAAATAGCGGTGAACTTACGTGCAAAAAGGAACAAAAACATCTGGAAATTGATGTTCTTCCGAGACACAATACATACTAGAAGAAACACGGCGTGAAATGAAAGAAGACCTACCAACCAAGGTTCCTACATAAAGAAATGAAAATCATCAATAAGCAAGACAGCCAAATAAATTTGTCTTAGTCAAAATGCAAAACTCTCATGTTTGACAAGCTCAAATCACATCTTTTGTTAGCCAATGATACCTCTTGCTCAAATTTTTTAATAATAACAAATATATTTTGGTAAGGTAATGATGTATGCAATGATGAATACGTTATCTCCTTTAAACATTACAATTTCAATTAGCAAGCAAATGCTAACATAGAGCTCTAACTTCTTTCTAAAATTCTCCTAGTATTGCATTAGACAGCTGGCAGCATCAACCACATGCCATATGATATCATTCCCCTTAAGGATCAAGTAGAGATCTTAGACCCTCTTTCTCATCTTTAGTTTCAAAAGTGGAGGACGAAAAGCAAATTCAAAAAGTGCATAAAATGAAAAAAACAAAGAGGCATAACATGATTGGAACTAAGGAGTAAGGACCATATAATAGAGGAAGAGATAACAGGATTGCATCGGAGAGAAAGGAACATATAACCAACTCTGGGTGACTGTAGTACCGAGGTAGCAAAATACTACTTAGGCAAATTACAATTGAACCGACAGCCAAAGAATTTTCTTTAGAAGGTTTGCCTAACCGAGCATTAACACAGTACACCTTGCCAACAATTTGCCTTGCCTGGCCTTTATCCAAGAAAAATCTTTAAACTTCAGCAATCACATATGATGGGATTTTTAATATTCTAAACCAACTACAGATCATCCTATCATAATTAAAGAAAGACAAGTGGAATTTAGAAAGATGTTTTATTTCAATACACAATTTTACGAGGATAGGAGAGTTCTACCTCTCTTCAACTGACAAGGCTCCTTATATAGATGGTGTCCTTCTAACACTGATCCAATTTGATTGAATCGGTACTAATATATTTAAAAATCGTGAGCTAAATGTTCCGCTGAAACCTACTACTTAAAAGTAAAAAACGACACTAGGCTTAGAGAGAAGGAAGAAATCGCCTTGATGTTTTTCGTGAATTGTGATACAATAAACCCCACCCACAAAACCTCTGGCTAAGAACCAAAGAAAGGCTTCCCCATTCAGCTCCTTTGGTGACTCAAGCCTCTAATCTCATGGTTGGAGGTAGATGGAAATTTCCAATTCCACCAGGCTATCCCTCTCTTGCCCCAAAAGAAATCATACGATAACAGCAGAAACTTCACAGAAAAAATGCAAAACAGTACATGAACCAAGTCCAAAGCAGAGCAAGATAAGCCTGCAGAAAATTTTTCACATATAAAACTACATAACTTAGTTCTTAGAAAATATGGTTATCTACCAAAGTATATGTAATTCTAGGAGACATGAATGTTAGAATGTACAACATTTCAATGTTACCATACGTTCTGCAATTAGATAATTGGCCTGACCCTCCGTTTTCCCTAGTACAAGCCATCCCCCACCCCCACTGCTCCCAAAACAAAACAACAACTATGAAGCCTCAATCCCAAACAAGCTGGGAT